TCTTCTATTTAGAAAGCTTTATCCTCTTGTATCTAATCCATTCAAAAAGGGCTGGCCCTCGGTCCTCCAACCAAAAGCCATCTCTGACACTGCCTAGAGCTTCACCTAATTTACTGCAAACATCTGGGGTCATTTGCTTCTTTGTTTTAACAAGAAAAGGCGGAAAGCTTGTCCTGGCATCTAGAATTCTTAAAGTCATAAAACACAAGATAAGCTTCCACAGAATTGATGTGGAATGCGGGGGCCTTTTCCTGATTCAGTTTCACACCATCCCTGGTTGTTTATTCTGGAAGACTTTTGACCTTCTGTAAACCAAGCAGACCTCTCCCCTGAGGCTCAACTGGTATTCACCCCCCCAGGAGATACTCATTTTATGGCCTCCTGTGCTTTGAATACTTACCCATCAGTAGTTTTTAAATCATTAACACAACCTTGTTCAAAATTAAGAAATATGGTCAAAATGAGAGTGTTCAACATACCTTTTACACATGCCATAAGATTAACTGTATTAAAAACTAAAAATAATCTTTTTTCTTTAACACTGGATGTAGAAATATGTGCAGATATTCATTATCCATAGTTACGGGAAAATCTAGTGTGACTTAAGTGATTTATTTGAAGAAAATCTGGATTCTCCTGTTGGTAAATAGTTGATTACCCCTGAAACAAAGAAGCATTTAGTTACCTGGCGTGTTCGCAGGTGCAGTTCTAACTGAAGGCCGGTGAGGAGGCTGCCTCGCTAACCTGAAACCAGTAGAAATAACGTTAAAGTGATAACAGTCCAAGTATTTCCATTTCATTACAATTACATCAGTTCTGATCCAATATAAACTACTGGGCTTCACCAGTACTTTGCTTGAAGACGTCTCACAATCACATTATTATTGGTATCTGGATTTATGTCACACTGTAAACAAGAGACACGTATAACTTAAGTCTTTAAGGGACAAGTCCGAGTCAAAGAGGAAATCTCTTGGGCTTAAATCAGAGTCTGGTCTTGAGTGTCTCGCAGAACATGTGAGCGGAGCGAGCGGTGGAGCGGAGTGGATGAAATATGGTGGAGCGCAGAGCGGCCGGAGAATGCGCTCCCAATGCCAATAAAAATTTTGCCTCAGCTGTTCCTGTTTGGCTGTGACTCCATCCTGGAGAGA